CAAGCTTGTATGGAGTATATGTTACTACTGATAATATGTATTTAAAAAGAAAAAGAGGAGTCATATGTACGGTTCCTGACTTAGAATACATAATAAGTCAGGGACTTCCTGAATAGTTGTGAAACTCCTGATTTTCAAAGCTACCACAGAGTTGGAGGAGAAGGAAATTGTAAAGTAGTAGTTTTTATTACCTGCTGTCAAGTGTGTTCCAACTCATAACTACCCTGTGTAGGGCTTCTGAGGACCAGCTGGTGGGTTTGAACCGCTCACCTTGTGAGCAGTCCAATGCTTATCCTACAGTGCCATCACAAAATTTTTTCTTTTCAGGATTCAGTGGTTCTTCTTAAATAAGCCCTCCTTGAATTTTTACAAACTTTAGTTACGTTTCAGAGTTCTGAAAAACTTGAATTTTTATCCATTTTTTTCCTGTATTATCATTGATTTTATTGGGTAGCAGATTTCCAGAGATCTTTTCTGCACCATCTCAGAAGTGCTTTTGCCCTTTTGGATCATTCTCAGATGTTCACTCACAGACAGTCAAAGACTAAGATTAGAGGCATAGTGTTTTGGTGTACAAACAAAAAAACATTTTAAAAAATCAAAAAAACAGAGGGAATAGAAGCAATACTGTTGAATGATGATGATGGAGGGATTGTAATCATTACAATGAAACAAAATATGACAGGATGTTCTCCCATGTAAACTATCACTTAATTCACAATAAAAACTTAAAAAAATAAAAGATTAGAGGCATAGAGATACTAATACTAAAAGAGCATGATAATTAAAGCATAAAAAAGAGGTATTCAACTTACATCAGAAGCAATTTACAGTGGAGTCATTGGAATGGAACCCCATCAAAAAGTGGGAATTACCTGTTGTTGATTTGAAAATGACTGTCAGTTTCTCTTCATTTTGAATAGATCTTTTACCCATACATGGTTTTATAACATTGTATATTGTTATTATTGTTAAGTGCCGTCGAGTTGGCTCTGACTCATAGAGACCCTGTATAGGGTTTCCAAGGAGTGACTGATGAGCTTGAACCACTGACCTTGAGGTTCAAACCAACCTTGCAGTCCAGTGCATTAACCCACAGCACCACACCAGGACTCCAAACATTGTGTATTAGTCATTTGGAAAATATTGATTTACTGAGTTATAACACTCTTCCCATTATTAACATATTTCATTATGTTGTTGTTAAGTGCCATCAAGTTATTTCTGACTCATAGCAATCGTATATAGGGTTTCCAAGGAGTGCATGGTGGGTTTGAACCACTGACCCTGAAATTAGCAGTCCAGTTCTTATCCTACCATACTATACTATAAAATAAAATCATGTCTGTTACTCTCACCACTGGTCTCATCAGAAAAATCTAGCTACTCGAAAGTTGTCATGTCACCTAGGCAGATACAAGTTTCCAAAATTACCGTTTCCATTTAGAAGCTTAAATTTAATGTTAACATCAAATGCCATTGGTTGCTTTTCTAGAAAGAGGCTTACTTTGTCCCTTTTCAAGAAAATGTCTGCCAACTACCCAGTTCTTAATAACCACAGTTAGGGGCCACTAGTAGTTACCCACCCTCGACATTGCACCATTCATGCAAATATCAATGTGTACTTCGAAAATGATATGTAAATAGTTTCTTTAAAGCAGTTTCATACAACCTCCTGAAAATGTCTTTGGGTCCCTCAGTGGTCCTTACCATACTTTGAGATTGAAATATAAAGAATTGAATCTGGATTTCTGGCTCTTGACTTCAAATATCAAAATAACTGACTCATAGTGAGAGGTGACCATAAGGACTCATGTTAGAGACTTCACTGACAAGATTTTTCAATTGAATATAAGTGAAAGAGACCAAAAAGTACCTATATAAATTTATAAAATAAGAGCCTATCGAGAGTAGTATGAAGTGTATTCTCCTGTAAATTAGAAAAATTTTTGAAGAATTGGGAAGGTTTGCTGAAAGCAATACTAGAAGTATTGTTAAATATAAGTAACTAAAGATATATTTGGAGTTCTGCTGTGGCTCTGTAGGATAAGGACTGAACAGCTAACCACAGGCTTGGCAGTTCAAACCCACCAGTTGCTCATCGGAAACCCTATATAGAGTCACTATGAATCATAACTGACTTATCCGTACTTAACAAAAACAACAAATATATATTTAAGATGTTTGCATATAGGATAAAACCATAAAGGGAACAGAAAGAATAGTTGGATGATGAAGAAGGTAATTCTGTACATTAACATCCCTTCAACTTTCAACTATGGGTAACTTTAAAATTGTGGATATCTAAAAAACAGTGCTTTTGGCTTGCCTATTTGCAAAATAAGAATGTAGGTATAGAATTTTGATAATTCTTTCATTGAACTTGTTGTTGTTATGTGCCGTGGAGTCGGTTCCAACTCATATCAACCCTGTACAGGGTTTCCAAGGCTGTAAATCTTTGTTGTTGTTAGGTGCCATCGAGTCAGTACCGACCCATAGCAACCTTATGCACAGCAGAACACTGCCCAATCCTGGGCAAACCTCACTACTGTTGCC